CAGCTGGACGGAGGGAAGGAACCTGATCTGAGAACATTTTCTGCTGGGAATCCGGGTTATCAGGGCTTGACAGGCTGAGTCTTCACAAAACATTAACCCCATAATCCCAAATGTGTCATATTTGATAGATATGGTTTCTGAAGTCTTTTGGATCTGAGACTTTTTGCATCATTCAGTGGTAAAAGCTTAGCTCAAACCCCTGTTGTACACATTCAGATATACCTGATAACAGCCAGTAGAAGACTACACCAAAATATATTTTAGACTTATTGCACGCTAATTTGATCAAAATAATATCTTTTTTTTCTTCTATGTTGTTGAGGGGCCAAAGAAAGACTTCAGACTAAAAAAAATCCAATATTCTTCCCATTTTTCTTGGATCAGGCTTTAAAGGGTTAAATTTGATTTTTACTATGAAAAAAGAAGATTTTAGCTATTAAATTGACAACTTACCCAAAAAACTGACTAATATCTGGCTATCTGCTACAGTTGTCGTCCTTCAAAAGAAGAATTTTGGACCAGAGATGGCCGGCATGGAGCACACACACTGTATTTATGGCTTTATTCATATAGAAAAACAAGGAAAGGCCTTTATTCTTTTCGATCTGTAGCTTTATGTAAACTGTTACAGCAAACAAGCTTATTTATCTGAGTGTGAAGGATCAAAAACTTGTTTTTTTTTGGGCCAGTCAGAGCAATTAAAAGCACACAAAAATGGGAAAATCAGACCAAACTGATTAAAGAGGAAAAACTAAATGAGAGAAGACTTTGAATCTATGTTGTCCAGGCTTCTCGTTTACCTGGAGTCGTTTTAGTTTGAATGCTAATCAGCCAACCAGTGTTCAAATCCTAGTCAATATTTAACTGTCTGAGCTCTAAACCAAACTAAATGCAGTTTCTTCTTTCACAACTATGTGAGAAACAACTCATTCTTGGAGTTTGATGAAGCTGTAACCTTTTCTTGTAGCCGTTTTCAGTAGCTAGCGTGCTACATTAGCTTAAAGGTAACAGTTCCTAACCAGCTAACAAGTATTCAGATCTTAAATAGCGCACAGTTACCCAAACTATTTTATTTTAAATATACGTAATCCTACACCACTGGCCAAATGATGTGGGGAAACAACAGATTTTTTGAGTTTGATTAAGTTGTAACTTAAACCAAATGGATTGAGTGGCTAGCTCATCTATAGCTTTTTACATTAGCTAACTTGCAAACAGTATAAATCAGTTTAACAGCTGCTCAGTTCTTAATTAGGAGCTCACTGGGCAGTTAGAGTGTATTTGGAATAAATTTCTTCATCACTTGCCAAAGAACTTGGACCAAAAAAAGTATATTAAAGTTTGATTAAATTAGTTACTAAGTTATCTTTAGCTGTTTTCAGCAGCTGTGAAATAATGTTAGCCTCGCTTGAAATTAGCCTGAATAAAAAAACAAGTTCCTACTGAAGAATTGAGCTTTACAGCTTTGGTTAAAACCGGGAAGTTTAGTTTGGCGGAAGGTGAGATCTCATGATGAGACGGTTTGAATTTCTTAATAACTAGAAAACAAAGTGGTGGTTTACAAAGCTGACATTTGCATTTCTGCTGTTCAACATCTAGCTCAGTCTTTTCCAGACAGGAAACTCATGCTGCTCGGACATTTACTGGAAAAATCTCAGCATTTTGGCATCATCTTCCCATTTTAGTGCTGTTTTAATTCGGTTTTAGGTGTGTTGTAATCACAGGAAGCCTCTCTGATTGTGGTTTAAAATGGTCCACAGAAGACGTAGCAAAGAATAAACTGATGTTGCTAACGACTTTAGCTTGAGTGACTGTTGTTGACAACTTTACTGCTAGCAAAACTAAACCAAACACTTCAAGTGGTCAAAACACGTTTAAAAAAAGTCAACAAAATAAAAAAAAGTCAACAAAATCCTTGTGTTTGTTTAGGAATGATCAGTTTAGCTAACCGGAAATCCTTGGTTGTTTGTGTTAAAGTTGCTAACAGCTAACCGCTAACTGTAGAAATCCAACTGCCCAAACTTTGGCTAATGCTCAGGATCTGCTCCAACTGAACCAAACCGACACATCTCACTCTCAAAATGTGGTAAAATGGAAGCAAACAGTGGATTTTCCAGAGATGGATCATTTTAGCTTTTTTCCAAATGCTTAAAAACAACACAGACATGAAGGTAGTTGCCATGGAAACGGGGACAACCCCCCAAATGGTGTTTACTTGCACCATCAAAAGCACAATTATCATATCTGGAGATAACAACTGGGACAAATGGGCGGGGATGCACACGTTCCAGATAAGTGACCTAAAGCCAGACCTCAAATATCAGCTCGTGGAGCTCCAGATCCCCCGAATTTACTCCACCCACATCCAAGTCGGCCATTTTGATTAGGTCACCAACAGGAAGATCTCAGGCAAGAAAAAAATGTAATTGCTCCATGGCAATATAGACATTCATTTAAAAATAGAGAAATTAATCTAGCAAACACTGAATTAAACTCTATACATAATATTATGTTAAAATAGTGTATGTTAAATAGGTTTAACAATAAGTCCAAACAATTTTTAACAAAAAATAATTATTTCTCACAATTATGAAGGCTGGAGGGTCATGTTTTAAAAAAAAAATTATTGTTGTAATGTCATTGTCTGAACGTGTGTCGATGTGTTTTGACTGATATTGTATTTTGTGATCTTGTGTTGTTTTGTCTTCCTGCCTCAGGACAACAGGTGTAAATTAGCAACTATGCTATTATCTGGCTCATTTACAATCTGTACAGAAGTAGTACAAAAGATTTTTCATTAATGTGCACTGTCCTGATTAAATAAATAAATAAATGGTCAGGGTTAGGGTCAGGGTTAGGGTTAGGACATCGTTTGTCTTCCGATTTC